CGTTTGTGTCAATCAGTCATATAATGGAGGTCTATGGGGTCCAACTCAAAGAGCATGCACAGAGAAGTCCAAATTAAACATGATTAAATGACTCGTGACCTAAGACATGAAATGAGTGGTTTGTGTGAGAAAACGAACAGTATTCATATCGTTTTACCTCTTGTAACCACAGCCACGTCCAAGTGATCTGTGGGCGCAGGCGCTTTGTGGCTGTGGTAACAAGAGGTAAAAACAATATAAATACTGTTCGTTTTCTCACACAAACTACTCGTTTCGTGTCATTTACGAGTCATTGAATCATGTTTAAATTGGACTTCTCTGTGCATGCTCTTTGAGGTGCACCCCATAGACCTCCATTATACAGTATGACTGATAGACACAAACGGTTTGACCTAAAAATATAAAAAATTGAAACTACTGCGGAAATAAAAACACCTACATCTTGGATGCCCTTGAGGTAAACTAAAACATAAACATATCAAAAATTAATTTCAAAGTGAACTATTCCTTTAATAATTTCTGCTTCGCCTTTACAGCCTTTACAGCACTAGCTGAAGTCCCGCGTCGAGCACGGGCATTCGGTCGTTTATGTCTCAAGGTAACTCAGAACTGTATCACAGCTCTGGAGCCCTGTGAGGCGGTCGACTGGTATCAGACAGGTGTAAACCTGGGGGTAATCTCGAAACTGAAAGTGGTTTCGACAGACGCCTCCAATTCACGCTGGGGCACCCTCTACAAGGCAGCTTGCACATAAACTGTCTAGAGATGAAGGCGGTTGAGAATGCCTTGCGGTTCTTTCTTCCACCTCTAAAGGGCTACAATGTCCTTGTCTCAGTCAAGTGGGTGGGTGACTTACACGCACTTTCTGTTAGCGCGTCGTGCCTTGAGTTTGGGCCTAATGACTACAAGGTCATCCTCAAACCAAGACTTGGTTGTGCTACCATCTGGTTTCGCTTCAGTCGATGAAAACCAAGGAGCATCCTATCAAGCTCTGGCTTATATTGGCATAAGCCACACCCATTCACGCGGGACGTGACGTCTGAGGGCGCTGGCGCCCTCATTGGTGCTTACGTCTCGAGCAGTCCCTCGATAGGTTGCAGCAGTTGCCGCAGAGTGGAGGGCTGCATTGGGATTGAGTCCCGCCGGGTCCCGCTGAACCCAATGCAAATCACGCGGGAGCGGGCACTTTGAACTTTGGTGCGGGTGGGAATGGGCGGCTAAAAAAAAATTGTGGGATCGGGAGGTAGCCTAGCGACATGATGGAGATGTCAATAAATGATGTGGAAAAGATCCTCAAGCGAGGTATTTATACAGCACAAAACCTAAGCAAGGCAAGTCTGACATTTGGACTACTATTCATCTTCCTGATCAGTGCGTCAGAATACATGCAGGCCAGGGTAACGAAAAAACAACCCCATGATTCTCTTTAATAATAGAAATACAAAAACTTGTTTTTTCCTATGGGATGGGAGAAGACACAAAATCAATGCATGTCTATTATTGTGCGGGAATAAATTCTCAGAGTTTTGCGGGTGCAGACGGGAGTGGACATACATATTGCGGGAGCAGGTGGGAGTGGAGCACATACGTTGCGGGAGCGGGCGGTAATGGTCAGAAATTTGGAGGGCGTGGTCGGGATGAAGAAAACAGTCCAGTGCAGGGCTCTATCACAGAGCATCCAATAGGCACGCAAGCTGCCTTGCCAAGGTCTGCTAACTGCAGTGCATTTAAATTAAAAAATACAAATTATAAGGATAATTTTTGCCTTCAGTATTCTCGAGAAGAGGTTTTCCCTTTAAGGTTTTTTTTTTTCCATAGTCAATCTGGCTAGTTATTAGTTATCTAACATTAAAAACATTTTTCTATTTAACAAGAAAGTCCTACGAGCCTTAAAATGTTAACCTGTCACCTCTGACCATCAACAGCTGTCACAGCTCCTGGTGAAGATGGGATGTGCTGTTGCAGGAACTGATTTGCTATAGGCTACTCCTGACTGGTCGAAATCTCATGCTACTTAGGACAAATGTAATGTACAGAAGAAGCTGCACTGCTTGAATACAAAATTAAAGTTTTTGAATGAAAAGATGTAAAGTCACACTGATGACATCATTTTTATTTGAAATGTGCATATTTACCCCCAGTTGTCATGGTATGGGGAAATTTTTTTTTTTTAAACTTGAAACCAATTTCATTTGATTCCTTGACCCCAAAAATGTACACTTGGACACTAAATTGTTCATTATACGCGATACAGAAGGAAAGATATGGGCTCTAGTGTATTTCGGCGCAATTGGCGGCCATTTTTGAAAAAACTTGTTTTATTCTGATACGAAGTGTGATCTCACTTGTGTCTTAGGATAAATTATTTATATGACCTTAAGGTACTTCCATACCAAAGGAGACCTTTGCATCATGACTTGACGTCAAAGGCCTATTTTTTGGGCTTAACCTCCCTACTATTTGTTAGAAATACAGAATTTGTAGGAAGCAGCCATGCTTTCCTCCAATTAGCATCTCCTAAAATGGAATTTCAGTAAAATTTCCCTCTTGGAGTAATTCTCTTTTGTTCGTTAAATACTTGTCTTATATCTTTGTTAGTACAATGTTTATCAAAAATATATTTACCATTTATAAGGTGATCGTAATCTTTATTTTCAACAACTTTATAATAAGTCATATGGCTGCACATTAAATTAATAAGCCCAGAGGCGAACAGCTTTAATTTCTACAGAAAATTCTTTAAATTTTATAGGAAAATTGAATTTGGACAAAAAGGAATCGTAAGAGAGAATTTTTAAAGATGAATCAAATAAATCACTTAAATACACTAAACCATGATCCAACCATTTCTCAAAAATAAACTCTTGCCTTTAACTGTAATCAATTCTCGTGAAAACAAGCTATTGCTGGATATATTGGCTCAAAATAGGTCTATACCATCCACAATCGTAGAACTGAGGTCTAACGGTCTTTTTTGACCATAAACTGGTTCTCATTTGTATTCAGTATTTATATTTCTTGTGACACTGACACTAGTAAATTATGAAATTGCATTTTAATATTGATAGAAGTGTTGAATCTCATTTTGTTANCTACTCCTTTAACCTTCAAGGTGTAAGGGTAGCAGTTGGAATAAATAATAAACATAGCAGTTTGAACTCTTCTCCACTTTATTATAGCACACATCAGACGGCCCCCCAAAAACCTGCAACACTCCAGTAGCCTACCAAGTGCGCACAACCCATCTACGGCAAGCGCCGAGGGGAAAAATATGTTGCATACACACATACGATTGCCAGAACATCATAACCGGTTTTATAGTAACAGACTTTGTTAGATAGTACCAACAAAGTCTGTTACGATAATAATAATAATAATAATAATAAAGATTTGAGGACAGTTATCTGTATTGAGACAGAAGAAATAGTAATATTTTTAGTTTTCAACAATAGGCCTAAGTATCATTGTTGAAGCCTTGCTCTTATGTTTCTAATTTCTCAGTTTTGTCATAATTTTAGAAAAATAATTTCTTTTAAATCTTCAGGAACCAGTTTCACTGGCTTCTTTTAAATTACTTTTAAATAATATAGAGGCTACACATACTGGCTGTAGTTGTTATGATTAATTATTTGGGTGATCCTTGCTTCTGTTTTATGTTTATGCTATATGTTATATGTTTTTTTTTATGTCTGCAACTTTGTTATTTGTGCTGCTGCCGACTTGGCCAGGACACTCTTGGAAAAAAGATTTTTAATCTCAACGAGTTTTCTTCTGGTTAAATATAGGTATATATATATATATATATATATATTATATATGTTTTGAGACAGCCTTAAGACAGTTAAAACTTTTTTTTATTTAAGTAGGCATCTATTTTTAAGTATTGAGTATTATTTTAAGTATTTAAGTATTTATTTTGTAGTAGCCTATAACCTCAGTGTATTCATTTATAATGTAACTTTAGGCTATTGCGTGACATTTGTGTCAATAATCGTCAAACACAGGTGACTCCACGTCGTGGGAGGGGCCCCCAAATCAAATTCTGCTTAGGGCCCCCAAAAGGCTCGGGCCGGCTCTGCATAAATGCTACGTGGGATCTCAATATCTCAGCTCTGGAAGGGTCTAGAGCCTCAGGACTAAGTCTCATGGCCCTCTATCAGAATCCAGAGTTTTGAGAAGATTGGAGAAACTTAATTTTTCGCCCGAAAAAAAACCCAAAAGGGGTACCACTGTCATTTTTTTGGGGGGGTCGAATTTTTGAGTTTCGATATCTCAGCTCTGGAAGGGTCTAGAGCCTCTATTTTTGCACTCAGGACTAAGTCTCATGGCCCTCTATCAGAATCCAGAGTTTTGAGAAGATTGGAGAAACTCAAAATTTCGACCCAAAGAAAAAACAACAGTGGTACACCTGTCATTTTTTGTTTAGTTTGTTTTTTTCAGTGCGAAAAAATAAGTTCCTAATCCAGAGTTTTGAGAAGATTGGAGGAACTTATTTTTTCGCACTGAAAAAAACAAACTAAACAAAAAATGACAGGTGTACCACTGTTGTTTTTTCTTTGGGTCGAAATTTTGAGTTTCTCCAATCTTCTCAAAACTCTGGATTCTGATAGAGGGCCATGAGACTTAGTCCTGAGTGCAAAAATGGAGGCTCTAGCCCCTTCCAGAGCTGAGATATTGAGATATTTATAATGGCATAATGCTACGTGGGATCTCAATATCTCAGCTCTGGAAGGGTCTACTTTTATTTCAGTACATTTTTAACACCAGTACTTTTGCTTGTAATTGAGTAATATTTTAGCAACTACTTGTACTTGTACTTGAGTACAAATTTTCAGTACTCTTTCCACCTCTGCGGTCGAGCACTCATTTTTTCACATGGTGTGATGAGCACATTTAAATTCATACTGACCCTTGATCATATTTTCACCTTTGTTCCTGTAAAGCTGCTTGTTCATATTGTGAAGCACTTGCCGTCACAAAAAAAACAAGACGCACCAGAATTCAGTGTTGCATATAAATATAATTTATTACTTGTTTAAAAATTCTTTCTTACATTTTGTACAGAAACTTCACAGAGGAGATGCAAGCTTTCGCAAATTACATCATGAACGTGCCATAAAATAAGTAACATCCTCACTATAAATATAATCGCATGATTGGTAACTATGGAAAGCGACTGCTAGCATGTATAGTTAGTTTGATAAAGGATGCAGAATTTGCATAGACAGCTTTATAAATCTGGACAACTGAAGGTGGACGCTGGAATCACAAACACTCAATGGCTATTAGTTTAGTTTGTACAGTTATTTCGACTGCATGCATCCATCGGTGAACGTCCTCTGATCCGTTAAAGTCGCAGCGATTCACATGCCGTACTGAAACCCTCGCCGTACAAAAGCAACGTGATTATGATGAACGTGTGTGTGTGTGTTCCTGAAAGGCGTTGAACATCCAGGACTGAATCGCACAGTTAAAAAGAGTTTAGTCCCTAGTTTGTCTTCTAAATTTCGATTACATACAGATCACTATGCAACAAAACGCAATTAACAATAAAATGAAAAGTAATAATCATAGTAACACTGTTAAACTTTACAGTTTGCTGTATATACACAGGAGACTGGACGTGTCGTTACAGGCTCTGTCCACTGGATGGCGCAAGAAGACCAAAAACAAAACAGATATGAAAAGAAAGGAACGTATAAATAAAGGCATTTTCCAACACGCGTGTTTTAATCGCCTGCGAGCCGCTCCCGTGTCTCGGTCGCGTGACGTGTCCCGGTACTGGTCATGTGACGTGTCGGGGAGGGCCGAAGTCCAGTATTTGGACAGCAGAAGTCGCGTTTCCTAAGAAACTGATTCGACGAATAGAAAAGCAAACTGTACCAGGAATCGCACAGACCCTTCCCTCGGGATGTCTCCTTGTTTTTGCGGGATTGAATGCGTTTCGGAGCAGGTCTGCCGTCGTCACGGTGATGTCAGTGCTCGGTTGCCATGGAAACGATGTTCTCGTGACGGCCCATCTCCTCCAGAACGGCGGCCAGGCGGTTCAGGTTCCCGTCCGGAAAGTGTTGGGCTTCCCACAGGTCCAGGATCACACCGGTCGGACTTGACTTGGTGGCGAAGTAGTTCAGATACCTGATCACACACACACACACAGGTCATCAGTAGGAGGAAGATTGATTTGTGTTTGTTAGTAAACATTATTACACTGTGAGTAAATATAAATGTGCTCTAAAGTTTAAACACAAAGTTTACATTTCATTTAGGAAGATGAACATTTTGCTGATTAAATTATTACATAGAATAAAATGTCATTATTAAAATTAAATGAAAAAAAAAATCAAAACAAACTGAAAAATGACATTGAAACTATTGAAAATGACCTTAAATAAAAATAAAATATGGAAAAAACATTTAATCAAATAGAAACATCAACAATATTGATATGAATGGAATTGTGGTCATAGCAGCAGATAACACCCAATAAATTGTGGGTCATGAGAGATTTTTATAAAGATAACTCTTTCAATGTCATCAACAGTGTAACTTCAGGAAAAAGCAAACCAGGAGAACATGTGACTAGAGCACCACCTAGTGTTCAGTATGTAACAGTCCTATCACCTTTATTTCTACAGCACTTTTCACAATAGAGTTTCAAAGCAGCGTTACAGTAATAATAATAGGAAATAATGCAACCGTTTTTTTAATGAACATGTATAAAGTCTACTTCAGTGTAATATGCTCTCATATCAGAGAATATGTAAGTGTGTCTTTATAATATGTTTTCTAGGGCTGTGCTTGAACTCCTGGCGACGCACGTATTGATACTGCCGGGCTTTGAACGAAGCCAATTCAGGGTTCGGATATTTCCCGATTTTTATCATTCGTATCGTGATGCGTATGGTTACACAGATGAAGTGCAGTGGTCATGTGACTGACCTGTCCAGGTGTAGTTTGTGCGCCAGCATCCTCCAGTCGTTGCCTCGGGTCTGAGGCGCGTCCAGACTCCCACACAGCTTCTGCCGGATGGACAGTGGGATCCTGAAGGCGTTCGGACCCACCAGTGTCGTGATGTTACTGGCCGGGTCCAGGAGAGACGTGTCGATGCACTGAGAGTCCTGCACACACACACACACACACCTTCAGATTCAGACACAACACACTACCTCATCTCTGACAAAAGCTTTCAGATATTGTTTAATTATTCAAAAATTATTTCAAGTGTAATTGAGCATTCCTGTTGAGCTCCTGTTACTATAGCCAACAAGCCACGCCCACACTCACACACACACCATGTTCTCACACAGTGAAAAGGGGACATGGTTTCATATCAAAAGTAACCTGGTCTGTCAGTGTCAAAGTCTCAACTTCCAAATTTGGTCATTTTTTAACGTATAAATTTAAACGAATACAGTGTTGTCTCAAAACTCAAAATTTCAACCCGAAAAATCTAAAACTGTCATTTTTTCCGGGTCGAAATTTTGAGTTTCTCCAATCTTCTCAAAACTCTGGATTCTGATAGAGGGCCATGAGACTTAGTCCTGAGTGCAAAAATGGAGGCTCTAGACCCTTCCAGAGCTGAGATATGGAGATCCCACGTAGCATTTATGCCATTATAAAAATAGTGGGTTATTGGACAAATAGTGGGTTTGTGGACACGTGGTTTTTAAGCTTAGCTTTCAAAATTTTGGGATGAAAGCTATTTTACTGCACTCAGGGAGGCCCCCTGAGTCTGTGGCACCAAGGGCCATCCCTAAATTCCACCGTCCGCGAACCCACTATTTTTATAATGGGATGAATGCCACGTGGGATCTCCATATCTCAGAGACTCCATTTTTGCACTCAGGTCCAGAGTTTTGAGAAGATTGGAGAAACTCAAAATTTCGCCCCGAAAAAAACGACAGTGGTACCCCTTTTAGTTTTTTCGAGTCAAAATTTTGAGTTTCTCTGATGAGTTTCATTCCACGTGTGGCCCGGGAATGGGTGGGGTAGTGTCCTGGGCCGTTTGACCAATATAGTGAGTTATTGGACAAATAGTAGGTCTGTGGGAAGGGGGGGTTCGCCCTCCGGCACCAACTAGAGGTGTCCAAATAACCCCTTTCCCGTGTGAATTCAGTCCTGATCCGTTAAATCGAGGGTAGTCCTAAAAGGCCGACTCCCCACCAAGTCTATAGGAGAGTGGGCATCTCACGGACTCCTACGACCCCTCGGGGCCATTATGCGACCAATGGCAGCTTATTGTCCACGAACCCCCGGTTTGGACTAACTCTCCTGACTGCTTTGTCGGACAAAAATGGCGGATTGTGATTGGTCAAATCGCATTGTATGTTTTAGTGTGCATCAGATGCAGAGTGTGTTTGTGAGCCTGACCTCAGCCAGGGTGGTGTTGAGCTGGAAGATCTGCCCCTCTCCCTCCACCTGTCTCACACACAGCTTACAGGAGAGTGTGAGCGTGCAGGAGCTGAAGCGCTCCAGGGTGAAGGTGCAGTGCAGGTTACGCTGAGATCCACTCCACACCTGCTGGAAGGAGAGCTCCTGACACACACACACACACACACACACCGTCTCTGCGTTAACACGGACCAAAGACACCAGTTTCAAGATCATATCACACAGTGCCTCAAAGGGGGAAACTAACATCATAAACACCCCACATCATCGTTATTTTACTATTGACACTGTTGTAGTTTCATATACAGTTCTATTTTTAGATATAATGTTTTCATATTTTTACTTAGTTTTAATTGTCATTTTTAAAATGTGTTTTTTAAATACATTTTACTTCAGTTTATAGTTTTGTTTAGTCATTTTTTTAGTTTTTAATAACTTTGTTGTTTTTGTTTTCTAAACAAATCCTCCAAACAGTAAAGTACTAATTTTCTGGTTTTCTTGAGTAACAATACAGAAGTACTGATGATTCAAGTGTGCAAAGTAAATAATAAACTATAGACTATTGTAAAAATGAATTTGAGCACATATGTGGCAAAATTCTTCACTATTTTAAGAGTAACGCAATATCATTCAATTCATGACTCATTTTGACCGGATCAGAGAGTCGTTGACTCAATCGAATCAGTGATTCATGGATGATTCGTTCAGTGTGATTTGTGAACCAACTCCACAGGTTCGCTGGAAAGAATCAACTCGTTCATGAATCAGCGAATGTCTTCAGATCCAAATAACGATGTCAATGTTTTTAAAGTAAAAATAAGTTTTCCAAAATGAAAGTATACATATTCAAAAAATATACTCGGCAAGTGATGTGTACCTGGTATTTGGCGATGAGTTTACTCTTCCAGAGTGTGTGTGGGATGTCGTGCAGCGACAGGCGCAGGTTGTGTGTGCTGTCCTTGAAGTTCAGAGACTTGGGCTCGTCCAGAAGCTTCCCGCCCATCTGTTTCTCCATCTGAAGCACCTCCTGACGGACACACACACACACACGTCAGCGCTCAGCAGGAACAAACACGCATTCATCTGCCATCAACTCGCACTTTAATGAGTTTTGCATGGTTAGTTTGTGATTTATGAATGTGCAGTGGGTTAATATGTCGAGGGGTAAGAGAAATTATATTCATATCATTGTTTATATTCAGATGATGTTGTTGCTTGCTGACACCTACACTACATCTGCTGCAAACACCCACGCACACACACACACACTGAGACTGAACTGGTCACCCTGCACTTCTACAAACAAAAAGCAGCAAACTACTTTTAACACTTCACAAGAAGAGTTGGACACATTAGTTGACAAACAGAACTAAAGTTCTTAGATAATTAACCAACTTGATGTATTAAAAAAAGGTTATTATCATGAACTACGTAGTTTAATCTACTTTATTATCAAAATAAAGCTGAAATAAAATATAAATTACATTTCTGAAAATTAACAATGTCTGCTTGGCGATAAACTGAAACTGAGTTTAAATTGAAGCGCTTAAATTATTAACTGGAAATGAAATAAAACAACCTAAATAGCAATATTAAACTTAATGACAACACACATAACAAAATGACTACATTTTAGACTAAAAAATAACATGAAAAGCAACTAATAAGACAAGAAATCACAAACATTTATACAATAAACTTAAAGTTAATTAAAAATGATCAGCCGCACACGAGAAGTGAAATCATGCACATGGAATTAAATCAATGAATCACTGAACAATTTTGAACTGGTTCTTTCACATGAATCATCTGAATGAACTGATTCACTACATAGTTCATAATGTTAGAAATGATAAATAATTCCCTTATAAATTATTATTAAAATATTATTGTTAATTCTTATTAATATAGAGTATATATATACTGTATATATATATATATATATTAGGGCTGTGCAAAAATTAATTGCGATTAATCGCATCCAAAAGAAAAGTCTGTGTTTACATAATATATTTGTGTGTGCTGTATATAATTATTTTGTATATATAAATACCTATGCATGCATCTATATATTTAAGAATTATTTGCGCTTAAATTCTGTATATATATATATATGAAGAGTTCAGATGCAAAAGCCTCTAAATGCCATTTGAAATTTTCTTCTTTAATGATGATTTTTATCAAACTTGTATATTTAAGTTCAGTAATTTCACTTAAATAACAATTAGTAGGTAATTATCATTGCCATTTAAGTGAAATTACTGAACTTAAATATACAAGTTTGATAAAAATGATCATTCTAGAAGAAAATTTCAAATGGCACTTAGAGGCTTTTGCATCTGAACTCTTCATATATAAATACAAAATCTATATTATATAAATATAAATATTTTATATATGAATAACACATTTTGTTAAATATATACATGCATGTGTGTATTTATATATACAAAATAATTATATACAGCACACACAAATATATTATGTAAACACAGACTTTTATTTTGGATGCGATTAATCGCAATTAATTTTTGCACAGCCCTAATATATATATATATAGTGTGTGTGTGAAAGATGGGCAGGTTTAGGGGTTGGGTTAGTGTGTGTGTGTGTGTGTGATGGGTAGGTTTAGAGGCCAGGTTAGTGTTAGTGTGTGTGTGTGCCTCACCTTCAGCGAGTCCTGTGTGTCGTCGAGACAGTAGACTCTGATGTTGTACTCCAGCACGGTGCAGCTCACGGGCCCGAAGATCGCCAGCTTCAGTCTCTTGGAGGAGTTGGCGCTGACGGAGCGACCCACGAGACAGTACGTGCCCAGCGTCTCCGTCAGCATGTGACACGCTTCCTCGTCCATCTGGATATAACAGGGGGTGGTGAAGTTCTCCTCGCCCACGACCACCACGTCCTGCACACACACACACACACCTCAATACACATCTACAGTGTGTCTGATGTCAAAACACTTGTAATCCCATTTACAATTATTCATTTAACTTTAATATATTAAAGTTCCTCTGGTCAACCATTTTATCCCTTAAAACTAATCTCTGATCACCAAAATGACAATTACATGTTTTTCCAAGAAAAATCATAAATCATGTCTTAAAATATCTTGAATGTAACTCGACACCCATGCCTCATTTAGTAAACAGGGTTCTATGAATATGCAAATGAGCCCCGCCTCCACACTTATGGTTTGTCTTAAAGCATATTAAAAACACCACAGACATATAAACAACATTAAACGCACAACATTTCAGTCCACCAATGGCGTTATACGAGTGCATGATTTGGGAGAATTTCTACTCAAATCATTTCACTGGATTTCGTTCTCAGTTTCTCAGTTTGCGATCGGATCATTTTAAGCCACTAAACTCCAGACAGTGTTCAGTCTAATGATCCAGGAACTCAACTCATTCAAACAATCAGTCCAAAACAGAGCGAATGTAAAGAGAACCCTCCGGTTTAGGGGTCGGATTAGTGTGTGTGTGATGGTTAGGGTTATGGCGACGACATGACTCGACTGCAGCTAGTAGTGGGAGTACAGTCTGACCGGTGTAGTTTATCCGCTCCTCGGCACTTCGTCCACCGACCACGATTCAGCCATTTCTCTTTTGGAAGTTTTCTTTCTTTTTCTTTTTTCTTCAAGCAAGTCGTTATAAAGCATGTGCTTCAGCGGTGGCTGTTACTGGCTATTTAAATCTACCGGGTTTGATGTCTCGCAGATTCTGTCTGGCCAATCAGTGACCTGCAGTGTGTTCGTATCGGTGCGGTACGCTTGGTACCATTTAAAGCGAGCCGAAGTGAGCCGTGCCATGCAGTGGAAAAGCACCATTAGTGTGTGTGTGTTATGGGTAATGTATAAAGTATAAAAACCATTACATCTATGGAGAGTCCTGACAAAGATGTGTGTGTGTGTGAGTAGACATTTGAGTGTACGGTCTCTTTTCACAGTGGTCAACTTTTGTGATTGTGAATGGATGTGTGTGTAGTTTGTGCTAGGGATGGGCAACGATTAATCGCGATTAATCACATCCAAAATAAAAGTTTGTGTTTACATAATGTATGTGTGTGTAGTGTGTATAATTATTTTTTTATATATAAATACCCACACATGCATGTATATATTTAAGAACAATGTGTTATTAATATATCAAATATTTATTTTTATATCAAATATTTATTATGTATAAATATATATAAAGGATGTACATGCAAATATTTCTTAGATATATACATTCATGTGTGTGTATTTATATATACAAATTAATTATAGACACTACATACATTATGTAAACACAAACTTTTATTTTGGATGCGATTAATCGTTGCCCATCTCTAGACTGCTCTGCATTTTTAATGATTATCTATATTTATTGTATTTATGTACTGTGTGTATTGATGTTGCTTTTGTCATATTATGTGTTACCACCATGGGAAGTGCAATTTACATTTCGTTGTTATAGGCAATGACAATAAAAGGCAATTCAAATTAATTCAGTTCAGAATCACAACTTGACTTCACACTTCTGTACTAAACACACACACACACACTCTCACACACACACACTGTGCACTGGGAATTGAGCGCTTTATATTTTAAAAGTGAATTGTTCTACATTACAGAGAAATAATAAACTATAATAAAGTGAGCAATGTTACTTGTACTATTCTTTCTCAGCCCTGAAACTCGAACCATTTTCCGATGTTAATAGTTTGTAATATTTATTTTTAATGTGATATTTAATGATTAGAGTTTATCCTGAAGCTTGTACAGCTTCAGATACTGAATAACTCTTACTGACCACAAACAGTGTTTATAACAGCAGTTCAGTGTGAAGAAGTGTTAGTTTGTGTGTGTGTGTGTGCATGTGTGTGTTTTTGAGTGTGAGTGTTTCTGAGTGTGTGATTGATTGTGTGTGAGTGCATAATTGAACGTGTGTGTGTTCACATCACGAGCTCAACACCGCACCGGACCTGCTCTCTGTGACCTCTGACCTCACGCCCGTGCTGGTGTGTGTGTGTGCGTCTCATTACGCAGCTGGGAAGCGTCTCCATCTATTAGCTCTAATCCTGACGCTCACACTGTCATTAATTTCATCCCATTACGGACGAGAGAAAAGGAATTAAAATACTTTATAGTCGGCTTGGCCGTTAAACAGCGGCATTATGACTAGCCATTAGCCTCTTTAACGCATCCTGTGGGAGCGCGGGATTTGAGCGCGTTAGTGAGATAATTAGCAAACAGGATGGAAAACTGGGCTAATGCCTTGCAGAATGATTTATTTACTCCAGCTCTCAGTCCATTCATCAGAGCAACGAGCTGTCGCTCAATGTATGCAGAAACCACCGTCCACTAACGTTCTCGGAGAAATGTTGCTTTCCGAAGGAGAAAAGACAGAAATACACACTCAGAAACAGAGGAACGTCATTTTCTGAACGGCAAACGCATCAAATCAAAGAGTGGGCGAGTGAAAAACACATTTACCACGTGGAATGACTCGGACGGATATGTATTTTGACACGACCGGGAACGCAATATTTCCTATCTGTGTGTGATCAACCAGTCATCATCAGTGTGTGAAGGAACCGCGTCTCCACACACACACGGATATTACGGCTGTCGCGCGTCAGATGGAATCGATAGTTATTTCTTTGTTTAAAGGTCCAGACGCATGTGGCGTTATTGCCTGTGCCTCGAGTATCCATCACCGTCACAACTGTGCCATTACGGGATATTATTCAACACACTCTGGAGAACATGTGCTGCTCGAACCCACACACACACACGAGCGGAACACACACCTTCCTAGAGAAGTGCCGCCGAACATAAAAACACAGTCGCTGATTATTTTCCATACCGTGTTCAAAAACACCAGACACCATCACGTCATGTGACTTTATGAGAGGAGCCATTATGCACTAAAATAATATTATTTCTTAAAAAGTTTAACTTTTCCATTTAATATTTAATTTTATATCAGCTTGATTTTACTTAATTTTTACAAAAATATAATATTTAATTAAATGAGGATTATGAGAGAGAAACAAACTAAAATCAAAGTCATAATGCACTGAAATAATTTTGCTTAGTTAGTTGACAAAACAAAGTTTGTAATGTTTATTTTATTATAATTTGATTTCAATGACCATAAACAATTTTTAGTTGGTTTAGTTTTACCAACAACACAAGTGAGATGAATATAATATAATAGTGTATAATTGTGCGATTTATGAGAGAAACCAACTGAAATTTAAGTCATTATGTAATGTTAATTTAATCTTGTTTTTCCAATTTTCTGTTTCATTTAATATTTAAAAAATAAAATTCATAAAATTTCATTCAATTTCATTTAATCTAATATTTATATATGATTTTATTTTATTTAATTTCAGCTTTAATTTAAGGTTTTATGAGAGAACAAAACTGTATGCATGAAAACATCCTTTATAAATGAATGCAGCACGGCAGATTTGAATATGCATGAGTGTGCATGAGTCACATGGATTAACGTTATGATACTTATGTGTGTTTTCTGTCACATTTCTGGATCTAGACAGCATCCACCCACACACACACACACACTTTCAAATTTTGGGTCAACTGTTGTTCATTACTTCATCGCTGCTTTGATTCACTCAGTCAGAGTGTGTGTGTGTGTGTGTGTGTGAGGTCCGAGCGGTTCCCCGCGTGCGGTTCATCCGTGTCGTGACAGGAAGTTGAAAACAGGATTCTTCTTTTTAAACTGAATTTGCATTCAATTTAGAGGCGAACTGAAGACGCTTGGGAGGCAAACAAACATCTATTCTGTGTCTCTATCAGATTATGCATGCATGCAGGGAACAAGCTTCTGAATAATGAAACGGCAGCAGAAAGTGTTTGACGGACCGCAGCGTCTCTCAGCAACAGGAAGCGCTCGTTATTTCAGGCAAAAGAGAACGAGAGATTGAGGGAAGAGCGCAGGATGAAACACACTTTCTTTCCAGCACAGCAGACAAGAGTTTATCTGATCTGAAGACAACAGGACTTCCTCTGGCCGGCTCCACCAGACGCCCACCATCGCTCGCTCCTCTGTGCGAACGGCTGAAGGCCATCCAACAGCGCTTTATGTGGGATCAGATGAGACAAGGTCACGGACTGTTGCTAAGCAGCTCAAAAGAGGAGAGCGTCTCTCGGGACCAAGAGTCACACTGATGGAGGAGCCCAGCTCTGACAGACACTTAGAGAGAGAGAGAGAGACCGAGAGAGAGACACAGACAAACTACGAGAGTCAACCAGTGGACAAAACTAAAGTCAGAATTATTCAAAACTGTCTTTTTTTTGTTTGTTTGTTTATATATATATATACACATGTATTTCATGCATTTGTTTACTGATTCATTTACTGATTATTTGTCCATTGCCTATGTAATGGTCATGCCAATAAAGCTCATTTGAATTTGAGAGACACAGAGAGAAAGACCGAGAGAGAGAGAGAGACAGAGAGCGAGAGAGAGTCCGAGTGAGAGAGAGACACAGAGAGAGAGAGAGAGAAAGAGAGAGGGAGGCCAATAATTGGTCTTTGCAGTGTTATTTTAGTATTACTAGAATTTATTCACATTTTAAATGAGTATTTATTTTTATATTTTCAGTTTCTTTTTAATTTTAGTTACATTTTTAGTTTGTGCTTTTGCCATTTGTATTATATATATATTTTTTTATTACAATTATTTAAAAAGTTTTATAAGTTTTTAATCTATTATTTACATGTTATTTTATTTCAGCTTGATTTTAAGTTAACTAACATTTTTTCAATTGTTTTAGTTTACAATAACAAAACCGAATATAATTCATAACATAGTTATATTTTATCATTATATTATAAACTGTGTAAATTATCCAATGATTTGTTTTATAGTAGTATTTCGAACTATTTAAGATTTCGTACTAGTTATTATTTTTTCAAAACCATTTCATTAGGTTACTGCCAAACTGGAAATATTCACATTTTCAGTTCATTTTAATTTTAGTTACAAGTTTAATCATTTCATGTACTTCATAATTATATATATATATCTTTAAAGTGTTCCATCTAGTATTTATATGATGATCTTTTATTTGAGCTTTATTTCTTTTAAATATTTAGTTGTGGTGTTGAGTCTGTTCCTCGGACGCCGTCCTCCAGTTCTTCTGACACTGCGGCAGTGTGCTGTACCGTTCCAGCAGTGCGAGGGTGTGAATGTGTGTGTTGAGGGTGGTGTGAGTGTATCGCAGCTCTTGCGTGGGTTGCATCGCCTCCTGCATGGCTAATTAACTCGCCAACATTGTGTTTGTGTGAACAATAGAGGCCCGGAGGAGTTCTGTTCAGTTCTGCTTCGGATAAACAACTTCTCCTCGTCGCCCGTGATCATGACAAGGCCAGTGGGTGGGAAACTCGTCTGACATCACGTTCTCCATCGCCATCGTCTAATTAACTCCGGGTCCGCGTTGAGCTGAACCGCGCGGGCGGATTCGCTGACAGTCGGCGCGTGTTTTGGCTGCAGCGAGTGTCCGGGCCGCCTGATATCCAACGGGACACCGGCAGGGGGTCGCACATATGTACACACACACACACACACACGATCGCACATCAACAGCTCAGATGCTTCAGATGAACACGTTTGACCTCCGGCTGCTTCATTCCATGGACACAAGTGAAAAAGTAAGTTATTCATATTTAACCAATGCAGTTTGCTGCGCCACAACGTCAAAGTTAACTTTTATTTCAAGTAACGAAAATGTTTTTTTTAATGGTTTTCTTTTTTTTAATGGTTTTGATTTTATTTCACTGGGAAATTGATTTTTAATGATTAAATGATATTTATGATTTACTTCTAAACCTATAAAGTCCTACTGTGAGCTGCGAAGGTTTGCTTGTGTTGTGCCTGCATCATTTCAGCTTAGTTTTAAAATAATAGCGTTTTAAAGAGGAATTCCTGGTGAAAAACTACATTACCCATGATGCTGTGTGGACAATTCCACCAATCAGAGAGCAAAACATGCCAAGAGCTCTTTAGCTCCGCCCACTCCCATGAAGCACTGCGAATGACGTAATTGAGTCGATCAGTTTGAATAAATACATTTGCAATACATTTAACATAAATCTAACACATTGTTAAAATAAATATAATCAACATTTTAAAAGAGCAGTTTTATTTTTCTCTGTAGTTATTCATTAAATTCTGCTGTTTGCAATGCTTCATGGGATTGTAGTTCTTTCCCTCACTGAAGCCAAGTTCTTGTAACTATACATTTTTTGTGCTGTAAATCAGTTTGTAATGTTGTGATTCACATTCTCAGTTGGTTCGTCTTTATGCGTATGAGAGTTTGAGCTCAAGAAGTTTACGATACCAGTGTCAGATTTAGTGTGTTTATTGTTCTCACACTTTTTGAGTTTGCATCATTTTCCCAGGACCTTTCGAGCCACTCATGAGTAGGAGCCCAAAATTCAAGTCTCACATTTTCGCACGTTTACAAATAAACAACATCACGTCGTGTCAATCACGTTGCCTCCGAAACTTTCGTCCGTCAAGAAAAAATTCGGATCAGGTTCGATGTTTTTGAGCTTTTCGCATCCGGAGCAAGCATTTCGAGAGGTGTTTTGACAAATTCAGAGCCACTGAATGACGAATACAAAAAACACATGAAAATTTCAGACTCATTGTGCTTTAGACTTTCTACATTTTTAGGCTGTTCTTTTAAACTCGATGGCCACCATCTGAACTTCCTTGCTAAATGGCTCCGCCCACTCACCTCCCACTGGCCCTGCTGTGATTGGCTCTTCAGCTGAATGAGCCAATCCTCGCTGTCGGCCTCGACGCAGTGGTGCATGGTGATGATGACGGGCCGGGTCAGAAGAGCTCCAGGAGGACCACAGCTGACCACGGGACTCAGAACCGTCTCCTGTGTGTCGTCCAGCGGCGGCCTGAAGAAACACACACACATTAAACATCAATGACCAACAGAGTTGCCTTCCTTGCCGCTGTCGCCCGTGACTCGCTCAGTAAGGCTTTAAAAGTCAATTCATATTCAGTAATATTATTGATTGAACATTTTGAGCTGAATAATGACACGGAATAATAAAGCTGCTTCGAAACAACCTGTATTGTATGCTAGAGAAATAGACATGGATTGACTAGAAATGAGATCTCTGTAATATATTGTATTAGTAACAATTACATAACTAAAAATAACATGCAATTTACTAGAGGTTCTGACAAAATGTTAATGGCTGCTGTCTATTATTATTATTTTTTTTATTAATTTGAATTGTTATTATTTTCTTCATTTAAACGAATGATTCAATGACTCGCTCATAAAGACTTCACTTGTTTCATTACTGGATGAATCAGTGTTTTTGAACGAATCTCTTGATTCAATGACTCACTCATAAAGATTTCACTTGTTTCATTGATGGATGAATCAATGTTTTTTTGAACAAATCTCTTGATTCAATGACTCACTCATAAAGACTTCACTTGTTTCATTACTGGATGAATCAGTGTTTTTGAACGAATCTCTTGAATGAATGATTCAATGACTCATAAAGACTTCACTTGTTTCATTACTGGATGAATCAGTGTTTTTGAACGAATCTCTTGAATGAATGATTCAATGACTCATAAAGACTTCACTTGTTTCATCACTGGATGAATCAGTGTTTTTGAACGAATCTCTTGAATGAATGATTCAATCACTCATATAGATTTCAATTGTTTCATTACTGCATGAATCCGTGTTTTTGAATGAATTTCTTGAATGAATGATTCAATCACTCACTCATAAAGACTTCACTTGTTTCAATACTGGCTGAATCAGTGTTTTTGAACCAATCTCTTCATTCAATGACAAATACATGTTTTTAACAGTCACTACTGTTGAAACGATGTAATTAAGACAATAGTTTTTTGAAGCATCAAGTTATTTCTAAAAGGTGATTTGCTCTGATTCAGATTTATGAGAAGTACACAGAAGTACCATGATAAAAGTTTATAGTACGGATATAAATCACTGAACCGTAGACATCAGTCATTATATCAGAACTATAAGCTTTTATCCCAGTACTTCTGTGATAATCTGAATCATGCAAGACAGAAATAATGACACCGTGTCATATCTATACATGACAACTGCTCTCTCTGGATCAGAACGTACATCTGAATGCTCGCTGTGATGGAAATGATCAAAGGTTTAATAGACAGAGACGAACTGTCATTTAGGAATAAGATTGCGTCACTGCTAAATCGAGATCGGAGACAAACAGATACTTTAAGAATGGCACATGTAGTTGTGTGTCAGGTACAGATGGGCGTCTTCACGGGCGATAATCCCCAGAATGAGGACGTTTGTCACGTTACCTCATGCTCTCCTTCCTGTGAACCGTCACGTACATCTCATAGACTCGTCCCTGAGGGATGGCGCCCGCTGGCACCAACAAGCTCACTCCTGCAGAGAGACACACACAAACACACACACCATCAGTCTGCCAGCCTGTGACCTCTGCCACCCCGTGCCAAACGCCCTGTCAGTGTCAAACACACACACACACACGTCTCAGCCAACAGGGAACACTCTCAGGGTTATGAACAAACAGAACATTGGTTCATAGGGATCTTGTCTTTAATAATGTTTTCTTAACGTTCATTAATGGAAAGGAACGTTGTAGTCGGATGTCTGTCTAACATTTTGTTGCTACGGTTTCATAGAACATTCAAATGTAACATTTCCATTACAAAAATCATCAAATGGAACGTTTTAACTTTTAAAACATTTAAAGTCCCCCTGTAGTAAATAACTGTATCCCATAAAACTCATCTTTGAACACAAAAATGACATATCTTAAAATATCTTGAATGTAACTCGACACCCTCGCCTCATTTAGTATGCGCGGTTCTATGAATATACAAATGAGCCCCGCCTCCACTCACTCACTCACTCAGAGATCCACTGGTTGTCGATCACACGTTGATCTGATTGGTTACAAGGTGGTTTGTGACGTCAGAAACACCAGCGATTTCAAAGACTGTCTTTGGTTCACTGCAGTTTTAAGGAGGAAATACTGTCCACTTATCAACTTACACACGGTGTGTGTTAAAGCGGATTAAAACACCACATAGACTTTCAACATTTTCAACACAGGGGGAACTTTACAAACTTGTGTGTTGTTATGCGCAGAGTGGTGAATTGCTCCAGTCTCACAGACTCATTGATTCTCGTGTCCTTCATGTGAACTTCCCTTTGAGCGACTGTCACTCACCAACAACAGAAGAACCGCATCACCAGAGAGCACAACCACAGACTTCAGCCGGATCGAGTCTGTTCACGTCAACATGAAATCAAAATCAACTATCTAATGAACTGAATTCACATTCCTGCTGTTATTGTGATCAATTCATCCGTGCACATTAGGTTTCAAAAATAAAATAAGTGATCAGTGCAATAACGTGTCAGAAACAAAAACCAAGAAGAGAAAAATAAAATAAATTCCAGCAAACACAACTAATAAAAGAATCAAAAGAAATTAAAAAAATAAATGTAGTAATATATATATAAAATATAATCTTTGTTACACACAGAGAGAGAGAGAGAAGTCTGGTTGATCCAAACAACACCTGACAGATAAATCAAGGCCGACTCTCTTCTCCTGCTGGATGTCAGTTTCACTCAGAACTGTGTCACATTAAGGACATAAAACACCCTGTGAGTGACATTTCATGTTTTTAAAATGGTCCGGAAACGTATTAGCTGTGCAAGAGAGTGAATGGAAATGATCTTATTTAACATTATAGAAAGTTTGGACCATTTAAATGTTCCTGCAGTGCTACTGAGATCCAGGGATCTGCGGTGGGAACTATGAATTGCTGAGGAAATCCAGCGCACGAGGCGTCAGGAATCTAGTACACTGAAAGCCTAGTTCACACTACATGATTTTAAAACGTCAGGCTGAACTGTGCGGTTCACACTACATGACTTGCTCTCTGTGAAATCAAGTTGTTGAGCTGTTCACACCACACGACACAACGTGATTGATCCACAACAGGAGATAACGCACTACACCAGTTGACAACAACTCTGTCACCCAACCATTCGATCTTGTCTACAAACCACGTTTTGTTGCGAAAAATCACGCAATTAAACTAACTGGAAATGACGCGTAATAGCATGCGTGCCAATACCCAGCGAAGAAGACGAAGGCGAACACAACATGTGAATATGGACGTCAAACAGAAACTAGTGCTAAAAAGTAATATGCTACAACTTCTGTAAAAATGAATAAATGAAATATAAAAAATAAAAGTGTGCTCCTGTTTTACAGCTTTTCAATGATGTTCACGTCGCGTAATTACGTCACTTCATAACATTCCCATGGCAACAGGTTACGTCACTTCATAACGTTCCCATGGCAACAGGTTACGTCACTTCATAACGTTCCCATGGCAACAGGTTGCGTCACTTCATAACGTTCCCATGGCAACAGGTTACGTCACTTCATAACGTTCCCATGAACAAGTTACGTCACTTCTTAACGTTCCCATGGCAACAGGTTACGTCACTTCATAATGTTCCCATGAACAAGTTACGTCACTTCATAACGTTCCCATGGCAACAGGTTACGTCACTTCATAACGTTACCATGGCAACAGGTTACGTCACTTCATAATGTTCACATGAACAAGTTACGTCACTTCATAACGTTCCCATGGCAACAGGTTACGTCACTTCATAACGTTCCCATGAACAAGTTACTGTACGTCACTTCTTAACGTTCCCATGGCAACAGGTTACGTCAGTTCATAACGTTCCCATGGCAACAGGTTACGTCACTTCATAATGTTCCCATGAACAAGTTACGTCACTTCATAACGTTCCCATGGCAACAGGTTACGTCACTTCATAACGTTCCCATGGCAACAGGTTACGTCACTTCATAATGTTCCCATGAACAAGTTACGTCACTTCATAACGTTCCCATGGCAACAGGTTACGTCACTTCATAACGTTCCCATGAACAAGTTACTGTACGTCACTTTTTAACGTTCCCATGGCAACAGGTTATGTCATTTCATAAGGTTCCCATGGCAACAGGTTACGTCACTTCATAACGTTTCCATGGCAACACGTTACAGGTTACGTCACTTCATAAGGTTCCCATGGCAACAGGGGGAAACGGCGGCTCTCGTGCAAAGCAAACGCAACATTTTTCAACTTTCTAAGATCTGTGACTTTTTTGCAACAAAAATGCGAGGATTTTGAAATCACGCAAGTCCTGCATATTTTGCACGGAAATCTTTTTAAGCGGCGAAAGTGCAGCGCATTTGAAAAAAATGCGAACTTTGGCTGATTATACACTGAATCATGGGATCGCATAATCACGTTTTTCTGGAGGGACTGGTTGATGTAAACTCTCCATCCGAAATCAATAGGAATGAATTCAGTCCGATTGAATGTGCATGTAAACAGAAGCAGTGTCTCCCTCAGGGGCCGTGTTGACGCGCTCCTGTTATGAATGCCTGAGTCGAGGATGGGTGTCAGGCGTGAGAGTGATCACCCTCTCAGTGTCCTAATCCCTTTATATCTCAGCGGACACTGAGGCACTTTGAGGACTAATTTATGATCCAGCGCTGTAAAACTCGCGGCGCCCATGAGGAGCGTTCAGACAGCCACATCTCTAAAGCCGAGTGGATGTGGCCATCATTCACACACACCTCACTGCCTTCAGGAGCCTCACTGTGACTCGGGGGGATACGTGTGATCATAAAATTATTTAATGGCTCAATATCAAAGTATTGTGACAATATGAATGTCATTTTTCCTAAAAGGCTCCTATGGTGTTTTGAGACGAGAGGTTTATCAGGACAGTGCAAAATCTAGACATGAACATGGTTGTAAAATCACAAATCACATCTATATAATATTATAATATTGCATATTAAAAGTTAAGTATATTTACAACAATAAGGTTTCATTAGTTAGTGTGTTTATTAATCTTTGTAAAAGTTAGTTAATATACAAAGGGACAAATGTTTCAAAAAATGTAACTAAGAAATGTTTTAGAAATATTATTCATTGTTAGTTAAATAACTAATGTTAACAAATGGAACCTTATTGTTGGCTCAAGATATTTAAGCAAATATAATGTATCATTTTATTTGCATTACAGTAACAAGAAACGATTGTCAAGGAAATCTGAAAACAAGATTGACTTTAAGCGAAGTATACTTTCTTTTGCCAGTGGAGTTGATCTCGACAGGTTTGTGAGATTCGCTGACGAACGGTTGGAGGACGAGCAGATTGATGATTGTTTCAGACTCACTATATTTTGATGAAAGACCAATGACAAACACTTCCTTCCCTCAATGAAATCTGCAGTCTGATAAACCGCTCACAGCACGATCTCTACGGGTTTGTTCACTCGGCCGTGGTTTGGTTTCTCTACTCGAGCGTCCTGTAATGTGTGTTTATGGGTCGGGCTGTGATTTTCTCTCCAACACACACACACACACACACAGGCCTGCTTCTTATAAAACCCAGAAGCTTCAATCATTAGAAGACACGATTAACACTGAAACACATGTGCGAGCGCACGATGGCTTCAAGATGTGCAATGACAGTGGGCACAACAGCGGCGCATCTGTCGTGTGGTCCGGACACAGATCTGCACTGACCTGAGTTGGGCACGATCAGATGACCCCCGAGAGCGTTGAAGGAGCCGAACGCGGTGCAGGACGGGTCCCAGGAGCGCACGAGTGTGTGTGTGCGCCGGCTCATGGTGTCGGCCTCCGTCAGCGCGTGCGGGAGCTTGGGAGAGAGTGTGGCCGAGATGTCGGACAGGTCCTCCTGCGGCGTCACCAGACCGGACGAGTTGTACACCTTGATCTTCAGGTTGGGCAGCGGGTCCAGCAGAGGAGAGTTGGTCATGGGGATTTTGTCGGCCACGTCGTGGAGCGCGTAAACCGGTCCTCGGTACAGGGCCGCCGCGGACGTCAGGTCAGGAGGAGCCGCCAGCAGATCAGCTACACACACACACACACCAAATACAGCACTAGTTATAATATACATACGATATTTCATTTTTAAATTGACAAATTAAATAAAGTCAATCAAAATCTGATAATATAATGTTCAAGAAAATTAATATTTACTTAATTTTCCACATTTTCTTAATGTTAAATATAATTATATATATATATATATATATATATATATATATATAAGAGCCAGAACTTTAACATGTTAACTAAGATTAATTTAATTACAGACTTTAACGCAATAATTAATTACACAAAAAAATTAACGCATTTTAATCTCACTTATTTTTGCACCGCGGAACATTTCTCACTGGATTATTTTCGGCGGACCGATTATACTGGAGCACCAACTAGCGTTCATGACTTTTTTTTTTACAGTCAACTAAACAACAAAGCACAGTGAACAAGAACGAAGAAGCTGATGAAACCGCTTTGGTTGGTCCTGTGGATGGGAAATTTTGTTATAAAAACGAACTGATGGAAGCATCATTAAGAGCAGGGTTGTGTGCAAGCTATGCCATAAGGAATTCGCATATACATCAACCCTCAAGTTTCACCTCAACGCAAAACATATACAATTGCACTGGTCTGCTGGACTTGCTTGATCAAAAATAAACAATATTTTGTTGCTTAAGCTTATGTATTCAGTCATTATTCAATGGTATACTAAAAATCTTCTCACTGTTCTGAGTTCAAATATTTATGCAATTAAAATGCGATTAATTTCGATTAATTAATAACAAAGCCTCTAATTAATTAGATTAATTTTTTTAATCGAGTCCCGGCCCAAATACACTAATTAGGGCTGTGCAAAGATTAATTGCGATTAATCCAAATACAAAAGTTTGTGTTTACATAATGTGTGTGTGCTGTGTAATTATTTTGTATATATAAATACATATGCATGCATGTCTATATTTACGAATTATTTGCACGTAAATACTGTACATATATACATACATAATCTATATTATGTGTGAATATAAATACTTTTATATATGACATAATATACATTTTCTTAAATATATACATGCATGTGTGTGTATTTATATATACAATTTAATTATATACAGCACACACAAATATATTATGTAAAAAAAACCTTTTATTTTAGATGTGATTAATCGCAATTAATCTTTGCACAGCCCTAATAATATATATATATATGGTCAATAGTTGTGTTATATTCACGATAAAACACGGCTGACCGCTTCACGCACCGGTTCTATGTATCACTACACAACACCCCTAGCAACTACTCTTAGCAACACAAACACGTTTGTTCACATTGATATTGTTGGTTGTAGAGTATTGAGGGATGGAGTGAGCATTTACAGTAGACATGGCATTTTCCTTCAGGTCAGTCCTATATTCGTAATAAAATATCCACTTGAATGTCTGCAGCAAAACCTGGTCCTTTTAACGGTTAAGGGGTTTTCCCGAGACCAGGTCATGTATCAGTTGCGTCTTTCTTCTCCGTGTTCAACAAACGGACTCATTTCAATGTAAATGTCTCCTCTACTGACTCACTCACTCATAAAGACAGTCTTTACTGCAAAATAATGCCAGGGACTATTTTTTCCAGCGGAAGGAAGGTTTTTACTTCATGAAAGTTGCATTGATACATATTTTTGGCTTTAATATTTGTATTGTGTAATGTTTTTTTTTTTTGTAAAAGCTGTGAACGTTAAAAACGTTCATCAAAGTTTAACGTCTTGTACAAACGGGTCTTGTTCAAAATTCATGTTCAACTTTGAAAGGTTTTGATCCACTTATTTGAAATAGAATATTTTACTGTCACTTTTGATCAATTTAATCTGTCCTTGCTGAATAAAGGAATTCATTTTTTTCCAAAACTAATGTTACTGACCCCAAACTTGTGAACTAAAGTGTATAAATACAAAAACTAATAAACAGTACTTCAACATATTAATAAAAACTACAGTAATTATTTACATTATAGTACAATAACACAAATAAGTATGATGAGACATTTTTTAGTTGGGTTTCCAAGTGTGCGACACACACACACACACACACACACACACACACACACACAGGCCTAAAACGCTTAGTGCAAACCTGTTTAGCACACGCTGGTAAAGCATTATTAATGCATTGAGTAGAATCGAGTGTCTATTATTTGCGCTGTGATGAAGCGTTTCTCCCTGAAGAGCGGCGTATATCCGGAGGCATCATTAGTCTTTCCCTCGTTACGGTCCTCATCTTTACCCAGACTCAGAGGGCATCGGGATCCACACCGATCCTTCACAGGTACACGCATGAATATTCATGAGATCGGGCGCGAACACACAGCACGCGACTCGCAAACTGACACCGCTAACGATTCTCTGCATCCGTGACCGTCTGCCGCTGAGACCTGAGGTTCGAGGAGAGGTCACCGAACACACGCTTCACACACACACGTAAGATCACTTCAGGGGGAATCTGGGGCTTCACATGCAGTTCTAGCCAATTAAAACACCATAGAAGTCGAAAAATGACAATTTACTCACTTTCATGTCATAAAAGAAGATTTTTCGATGATGTTTGGGTTGTAGAAAACATCGGTCCCCACTGACTGACTCTAGATGGACAATCTTTTGTAATCCATTTTTTTATTAATATTTTGAATGTTTTTGTATTTTATTTTTTTTATTTTAATTTTAGTTAAAGTTTCAGTAATTTAGTTGTGTTTTTATTAGTGTACTTATTATATTTTATTGTGATTTTTAAATAAATGTCTATATAGTTTTTAGATATTTTTATTTAGATTAAAACGAAGTAAATGAAAATCAGAAATGTTGCCTTGGCAACTATATAAAAAATAGTTATATATATATATATGCATGAGTGTGTGTGTGTTTTATAACTGTGTTTTATAAACCCCATTTCAGTTAATGTTTATTTTATTTTTAGTGGTTTTAGTTTACGTTAACTATATCAAACCTGGAAGAGAAAGAAATCGTACAGCTTTGGAACTTTTTTGAACATTTAAATTCCCATTAGTTTCCCATTTTTATATTTAAAAAATATATCTAAATTTTAAAAAATGATATATAAATGATAAATATAAATATCCAAATAAAACACTTACTTAAAATATGAAATATGTGTTTACCTGCATGTTGTGTGACCATTAATCAACATAAAAATAAATAAATAAATAAATAAATAAAAACAGGAACATGTGAAAGGTTTAATCTCAGCGAGTCCAAGTAAATAGTTTAGCTCAAAGATGTTCAAAACTCATGAATGATTGTGTTTGATAAGTGATGATTGCGGTGCTCTTGTTCTCCTGGTGTGTGAAGTGCAAACGCTGATGCGCTTTCCCGATCCCAGCTCTCTCCTGTGTTTCCCACAACACCTTCGGCTGGCGTAACTCAGGCTGATGGGTAATTAACACTCAACGTGCCAGACAGACAAAACTAATTACACCGTCATGATAACGTGCAGATTGCCTTCACATCACGCTGACAAGCTCCTAATAGCAGGAAACTCAAACGCCGCTGAGTTATGAGCATCTCCTCGTTCGAGACTTTGACGCGCATCAATTCTCCATCTGCGGACGCATTCATCAGCGGCACACCATCCGTCACTTCCTTTATCATTACAGTGACACTGACACAAAGAGAAGTGTCATGAGTTCAGGCTGGACTGCCACGGCGGATATTCTCAGGAAATATCAAACTAGGCAAATGTTCTCTCACATATCACAAATATAGAAAAGCAATAAAAGCCCAATAAAATATTGATATAATCGGTGTGCATATGTTGGGCAGACTCTAGTTATTAAAAAAAAATCATATCCACCATCCAGTTGTGTATGACAAGTTTTTATGTATATGCATTTATTTTTTTTAAAGGGTAACTAATCCCCTGGTCAGAGCCTGACTCCACCCACTGGCAATATTTGAAAAATGCTGGAAAAGTGGGCGGAGCCCAGCGGAGGGGGGCGTGCACCTGAGACGCATCTCTTTGTATGTCACCAACAACCGCTGTGTCACGTACCACCGCAAACATCCAATAGGCAAATTCAACTGCAGTAGCCACCGTTCAACCTGAAGAGGGCAGCACTAAGACGCTTTTACACCATATATTGTAGAAATAGATCACTTTATAAACAAATGCCAAAAAAAGTTACTCGAATCAATGACTGGTAAGATCCATTCTTACAGATCATTAACTAAAAAAAGGTGGTTAAGTGTTTAGGTACTCTTTAAGGAAATAAAGACATCATCAAAGTAGTCATGTGACATCAGTGGGTTGGTTAGAGTGTTTTGAAGCATCGAAAATACATTTTGGTCCAAAAACTGCGACTTTATTCAGCATTGTGTTGTGTTCCGGTTCTGCTGTGGATGTGACGTAAGACGCACATACCACACACACGTCAGCAGCGGCACTGAACGCGGACCCACAACAGAACCGGAACACAACACAATGCTGAATAAAGTCGCAGTTTTTTGACCAAAATGTATTTTCGATGCTTCAAAACACTCTGACTAACCCACTGATGTCACGTGACTACTCTGATGATGTCTTTATTTCCTTTCTGGACAAGGACAGTATACCGTACACACATTTCCAACGGAGGGACAGAAATCTCTCGGACTAAATCTAAAATATCTTAAACTGTGTTCTGGAGATGAACTGAGGTCTGACGGGCTTGGGAGAGTCGTTAATGACATCATTTTCATTTTGGGGTGAACTAACCCTTTAAGGAATCTCTCATATTAGCTGAGTGTACAGCGCGGGGACGCGTCCCGTACCTGTGCGAGCCGTCTTGATGTTGACCGGCTGGAATCCTCCGTTGAGTGCCGACGAGTCCAGGATGTCCGAGTCGAAGTCCCGGTGGTTCTTCCGGTACACGAACAGCGCCACGATGACGGAAATCACCAAACACATGATGACGGCGATGACGATTCCCACGTAGAGAGCCACATCATCTGTACTGGGGGCGGCTGGAGACACACACACACACACACACACACACACACACACAGAAGATCAGTCTCATGCCTTTATTAAAGCGCTGTTAAATTAGGAGGGAGATTCTATCTAGAGTCTAATATCCTCGCTGATCGCTCAGATATTAATAACTCAAGACTTCATTAGTGTCCAGCGAGCGAGAGGAACCGGTGATGTATTGATCATGCGTCTCAGTCACCATTAGATCCACGGAAGACGGAGATCATCGAGAAGTAACTAATTTGTCTAATGAGTAACACACTCAACAGACGAGACAACACACAAACAACTGACGACAAGCTAAATACACAGATGATGACGAGACAATGGCAGACAGCTGATCCATGGTGATTGATCAGGTGATGGCGGGGAACACGAGGCATGCTGGGAAGTGTAGTGCCGTTGAGGTGTGTGTAGTCATGTAGTCTGTACATGTGACACAGCAAACAAGAATTTTTAGATCTCACATCATCACGCTATAATGGACACTAGGACTGGGTCATGTGATCAGCGTTGAGTGCATATCATCCAATGATGTGTGTGTGTGAGAACTTAAAATCACATTCGGTTTCATTATATTAGTTTGATTGTGTGAAAGTCTTTAGGTTTTCACACTGATGTCAGACTAGTTCATTCATACGATACGAGTCATGTGTGAATCATCCGATCTGAAGCTGTGCGTCAATCAAGAAAATATAATCATTTACATTCATGCAGAGGATTTTGACTTTAAAATTACTTTATGAGTTAGGTATAGTTGGAAAATAAAAGTAGTAATAATCATAATATATATAATAGAATATGAATAGACAGTTCTTGAAGCTGATTGGTTAATAAAGCTGTAACCATGATGTAAAATGACTTGTATCGTAATGTAAGGTTTGTCACACCTAATAGACACACAACTATACAAACTCTTTTTGAAATAATGTTAATTTTACTGCAAGTGGAATGAATGCAAAGGGGGAAAGATGAGTTGTCTTTAAGACAGATACAAGAAACAGCATTAGAACAGATCCAGCAGAGCGACAGACGTGTGTGTGTGTGCTTGAGATCGATCTGGCCTGACTGTGTTCCCTCACTTCATCACGGATCACGTCTAGAGATCAGACTTTCCCCCGTTCTCTCGTGCCGTCACATCTATTCCACCCTCGGCTCTTCCCGTCTCGGAGAAAAAGTCCCGATGATTGTGTGGAATGGAAACTTTGACAAGCCGTCATTAGAAGCAATACTTTGCCCTCATTTCCATAGAAACAGGCCCTTTGTCCCCTTGATAATTGTGAAAAATGCAATTTCCTGTCAAAGCAGTGACAAGTGTGTGAGCGTGTGTAATATAGGTGTCCGCGAGGAGAACATCCATACGAGCGCCCCACTCACACTGACACACTGGTCCACCAGAAGAGGGCGCCGTCACACACCGCTGATGTCATTCAACTGGTACTCATGCATTCATAACAATCATACTCATGATATTCCTGCATGTGCATCATCTTATGGATTCACTGTGATCAAACGGGCAGGACTTGCACTGACAAAATAAATCACATTTTTCATTATTCTTTCTTTTTTAATTGAATACCTAAAAATAACACTCAAAACAATAAATTGATCTGAAAAGCAACACCACTTATTTTTTAAAATAAGAATTTATTTTAATGTTAAGATTTTTTTTCACTGAAAAAAAATGAGAAAATTTGATTTATATTCAGGAAATGTCAGAAAAAAAGTCACTTTGTTTTTATCTTTAATATACTGATAAAACGTGTACATTTTACTCTGAAATTGCTGGCATTACTTTTACTAATTACGGTACAAAGAAACGGCGAGTGACGCATCGAATTAAATGTGATATTTTGAAGCAGAAAGCAAAACAGTGTTTTCATAATCATTACTTTTTTTATTTTTTATAGTGACCTATTTTAGAAACGCATTTTATAAACAGCAATACTCCAGCATAAGCCCTCAGTAGGCGTCAGCAGTGTGTGTGTGTGTTATAAAGCAGCACTGAGTGTCTGTCGACTCAATTATGTATATTGGGTTATGAGCGCGCAGTAATAACCTGATGCGGTTAACGAGAACGAGCTTTACTTCAGATGAGAAATACAGCAACCAGCAGCTCCAGTCTGGGGCCTTTCTGGGAGTAAATACTGTGTGTGTGTGTGTGTGTTGGTGAAGGTAACAGTAATCGATGTCATGATCAGCTGAACGGTCGAGTTTAATCACTGTGATATTCCAGATTAATCTCACTAATGTGACTCGCCCTCCAAACCCGCCGCTGTGACCCGTCTGACGCACAAACACAGCGCTTTACATGTACACACACACACACACACGCGTGCAAAGCTGAAAGTTTGAGAGAAGGGCTGCGTGATTTGGAGAAAAAAAAATTAATTGCATTTTTTCTGATTAAAACTGTGGTAAAAAACAAAATCCTAATAAAAAAAAGGTCCAGGTTTGCTGATTGTGTTTGTAGGTCTGCACAATTAGGACAACAATTTTGTAATTATATATTAGTACCAGGATAAGTTATTAGAAAAAAATAAAAAATACTATTCAATATGAAATAAAAAGCAAGTGTTTAAGATTTTCATTATTAATTATTATCATTATTGTTGTTAATAAGTATGATAATTATTATTATTATTACTAAATATAAAATATTAAACAATAAGAAAGTACTACTGTAATTTAAGAAAAAAAGTATTATGAATTATTAATAAAATTATTAGATTTATTTTAATATTTTATAAAATTTTAAATTATGTATAAAATAAATATTGATGTTTATTAATCAAAATAAATATAACCCTTGCAATGTTTCACTTTGAAATATAGCAAGTATTTAAGAAAAATAATGCAATAAAAAGTTTATGCTGCACAACTTCCAGTAATTTACATTACAATTAGATTAATACTAATATTTATTAAAACTAATCTTAAACATTAAACCATCAAGCTTTTATCCGGGCTGAAATCGTTCTCTTTTATGGTTTTCAATCGCCTTATCGCTTGGGAAGATTTCTGTCGGCCCAAACTCAAAGCTGTACCACTTTCCTCACAAAAGCAGAATGTGCTTTTCTACCACATAATGAGCACTGATTGTGATTTATAAGGTTTAGAAATGACAGAAACCCTCCTTTTGTCAGAGAAGGAAGCTCCTACAGGTTTGGAACAATGTGAAAGTGAATAAATGACAATTTTCTTTTAGTTTTGTCTGAACAATTCCTTTAAAACTGTTTCCTGAAAGAGGAAGTTCCCATTTAAAGATGTGCTGCTCTTTCTTCTCTATTGTTCTGTATATCGAGTGAAACTTCTGGAACAGGAACACATGTGGGCGGGGCTTGATTGTGTCTGTGGGGAATTGATTGGATGGTTGTGGTTTGCTATTGGCTGATCTCATGTGAGTGACAGGTGGCCCCGCCCACATCATCAGAAAAGAGAAGAGAAGCTGCGAGAGGAACTGATTCTCATTCAACATTACCAGGTATGGGCGTCAAATAAAAAATTCAATTTTGAATATTCGTCAAATTTGTAAAAAATAAAAAAATAAAAAAAAGCTTAGCTTATCCAGTTCAGCGCGGTGTGGATGAGTTGTTAATTTGAATAAAATGGCAGGAAAAGTCTTTCATCATCAGCTGGAACACAGTGAACAGAAAGCGCTCCGCACTCGCTCAGATCAAGAGCATCTGGTGTGTGTGTGTGTGTGATGATCTATATGTAGATGTGTGAGTGTTTCTGAATGCCAGTTTGCTGGTGTGTGTTCATGTAGTTCATTGTGGTGAAGTGTGTTTTCTCAGGTTATTGATGCACTTACTCAGTTTTATGCACTATTGTAACCTAATTTTCCTCGTTTAAAAAGTGAATGTCATTTCATTTCAATTAAAGATGCAATGCTTGATTTGGTTAATACTCGTTTATTGCGCCCTCTTGTGGGTATAGGAGACAACACAGTACTGTTCCCCCTCTCACATTAAAGGGACACTTCACCCAAAAATGAAAATTATCCCATGATTTACTCACCCTAAAGCCATCCTAGATGAATAGATGCACTTTTATGACGGACAGATGCACTTTTATGACAGACAGATGCACTTTTATGATGGACAGATGCACTTTTATGACGGACAGATGCACTTTTATGACGGACAGATGCACTTTTATGATGGATAGATGCACTTTTATGACGGACAGATGCACTTTTATGATGGATAGATGCACTTTTATGATGGACAGATGCACTTTTATGATGGATAGATTAACTTTTATGATGGACAGATGCACTTTTATGATGGACAGATGCACTTTTATGATGGATAGATGCACTTTTATGATGGATAGATGCACTTTTATGACGGACAGATGCACTTTTATGATGGATAGATGCACTTTTATGATGGATAGATTAACTTTTATGATGGATAGATGCACTTTTATGACGGACAGATGCACTTTTATGATGGATAGATTAACTTTTATGATGGACAGATGCACTTTTATGATGGATAGATGCACTTTTATGACGGACAGATGCACTTTTATGATGGATAGATGCACTTTTATGACGGACAGATGCACTTTTATGATGGATAGATGCACTTTTATGATGGATAGATTAACTTTTATGATGGACAGATGCACTTTTATGATGGATAGATGCACTTTTATGACAGACAGATGCACTTTTATGATGGATAGATGCACTTTTATGACGGACAGATGCACTTTTATGATGGATAGATTAACTTTAATGATGGACAGATGCACTTTTATGATGGATAGATGCACTTTTATGATGGATAGATTAACTTTTATGATGGACAGATGCACTTTTATGATGGACAGATGCACTTTTATGATGGACAGATGCAGTTTTATGATGGATAGATGCACTTTTATGACGGACAGATGCACTTTTATGATGGATAGATGCACTTTTATGATGGATAGATTAACTTTAATGATGGACAGATGCACTTTTATGATGGACAGATGC